GTGGCACTGCGTGACTTAAGAGAAAACTAATTCTAGGTGCACCCTCCAACAGTCCACTTGACCCAGGTGGAAAAGTGGGTTTTTATGTTACAGAAGTGCCCAGACATAGATTTGAGGGCTTTTTAAAACAAGACAAGTGCATTGTTTCAGCACTGCTCTTTCTAATGACATTTTCTCCTCTCTGATCAAGAGAATCCCATAGGGATATGATATGTGGCACTGTATAAAAGGGGTCGCTCTAGATCACGTTCAGTGGCAGTGAAGCAGTGCCTGATTCCACAAACTACTACTTTTTTGTTGTTGTTGTTGGACTGTCTTTACCAGAAAGACATACAAGCCCTTTTATTTCGCTTTTGGTAGGAATTGGAAGGAAAATAGCTCACCATTTCAAGGATGGAAAATACTACTCTGATAAGGAGGAGTCGCTGAACTTTAGGTAAATTCAGACTGGGACACTTTATATTTTTTGGTTAATTTAAGTAACAAAAACTTTTTTTGTAACTGCACTTGATTTACAAGAAAGACGAGGGAAATGAACATCTACCAAAGATGATCGCTTAAAAAGACGTAACTCCTAGAAACTAAAAAAAACAGTGTGAGAAGTAGTAGAGGCATTGAACAACCTCAGATGATAATAATGTGCTCGGACCCATTGTGTTTTAAATTGGCCAGCTATGAAGATTTCTTAAAAGAAAAGAGAAAAAAAAAAAAATTGTACCTGTAGATATGGGATAGTATTTGACTATCTGGAACATTTCCCTGTCGCACCTCAGTCAGGAATTGCCGTGTCTCTTAGATTACAGCTTCACATCGCAGTTCTGCCAGTGTTAATCTAGCTAATGTTCAGTCTTCCTTACTTGCCCAATCTGCAACAGGTACTTGAATTTGTTTCCTGACAGAGATTCTTTGGTTAGTTGGTTTATTTTTTAAATGGCAATGTGACTTGCACACGAAGGAATTGGACTCGCTACCAGTGGGGAGTGCTGGGAGCTGTGACTGTGGAGCAAGTTCCACTGCTCAAGAGGACTCAGGACTTGAGCTGTGCTTCTTTTTACTCTTCTCTGCTCCATACCCCTCTCTAGAGCGACAGTCAAGGAGTGGGAATGTTTCAACACTTGCGCCAGATTATTTTCCCCCCCTAAGGAGTTGGAACTGATTTGCGTGACTGAATAACGTCCTGTTTTGTCTCCAGAATGCTTGTAATATTTTTCACAGCCAAGCTTGTCAGACTTGCTTTGGGTTTTGTTAGCTCTGCTGCACAACAGTTACAGATCTTTTGGTTCTTTTTTAATTTTCTTTTTCTTTTTAAGCAGGATTTAGCATTTTGAACAAACCTCTTGCTGTTGAAACATGTTGCTAATCTGCCTTGAAACTGTTTTCACATATGCCTTTGTTTCGGGAATAAGCTGTTTCGAATGTCTGTCCTGTGCTGTAACGCGTGCTACAGTTTGCTGTGTGGAATTTGGTCCTTTTGAGAGATAACTGGTGCTCATCACATCCTGGTAATTTCCCTAGACTAACGCTAGCTCTGGTCTGGATTCTGAATGTGGGCTTGGGTTTTTTTATGTTCATACCCACATTCATGATGGGAATCCGACAGGTCTCAACTTTGAAGAGGACAAAAGGGGGCTAAAGTTTCAGCCCATGAGTGCACTGTAAATAGAGTCTCTAAGAAATCAAAAATTAATATTAGGGGTCTATGAATCTTTTTATTTGTTCATGGGTCATTCCCTTTCACATGGGACAAATGTCTTCTGCCACTGTAGTCCAGTGTGATGTGGGGGCTAACATCTTGTCCTGGAGGCTGAAGAGTCTCATGTCTTAAGGTGTGTAGCTGGAAAAGCCCCAAAACAAATGCAGCTATGAGAATACTTTAAAAAGGGGAGGACTTAGAGGGTATCATCAGCTTCATTTTGTGGGCATTATATTGGTTGCTTTTCTCTTAAACAATAAGCACTTAAGTTTACTATCAATTAGAAATTAAATACCAATCACTTTCTATTCTTGACAGTTTTAAATATCTGCATTGAATCTGCAACTTTGGCCTGGTAAGTTTGCCATTCTCATTTTGGGAAACTAGCTTGTACCTTTTAAACTGCTTAGCTTTAAATTGTGTATTAAAAAAAAAAAAGAGAGAGAAAAAACGGGGAGGAAGAAAGAAGGAAACTAGTGAACTGCAGACATCCTGCAATGAGACACTACAAAACAAACAACCCAAAGAAAGTAGAAGAATGAAGCTTGCATAACTAGAAGCAGCAGTCTCATTCACTGAATTTCATGAACAGGAATGAAATTTTTAAAAGTTAGTTCCTGCAGCAGTCTTTAAAGAGGTGATGATATTAAGGGCTTAAGAGCAGTTCACTCTATTTTCTTATTCCACTCCAAAGAAACTCCTGCTAGAATTAAATTGGCTGTCTCTGGCTCAAGTGATATGAAAAGCCCCATAAACTCTATTCACTTTAGCACTTCCCCAATTCTGCCACTTCTGTCAAGTTGCCATACTGTGTCTATTAAAGTAATTAAATGCAATTTTCTCACTCAACGGTGTATTACCCAGGTATGTAACTTTGTTTAACGTAAGCATTTTGTATATTGTTTACATTTTGAGAGGTAGCATTATGTTAAAAATGCTAATTTTTGTTTCTAGACAGTATTTTTATTACCAGAATAAGAAGTGAAGCTGCAAATATTTGATTTGTTTTTAAAAGGGACTTTTTCTTTTGTTTTTGTTTTGTTTTGTTTTTTAATCTTGTTTTAGGTCACTTTTTTAACTCAAGTATTTAAGAGGAAAACCCAGCCCTTTCAATTCTGGTTTTACAGCTGCTTGTGCTAGTTTGTTGTCTGTTTCTGGTGTGAATTTAGTTCTAGTTTGCTGAATGTAGATATTTCTGTCTGTAGCATGTACTCTGCAGAACACTTGACACTGAAGTGCATTTGACTGAAAACCACCCTCGGCTGAAAGAGTTGCAGTAGGTAGGCAGATCACTTGCAGGATTTTTCAAGAAATTGCAGTGCAATTCTTTGATTAACTGGAGTTTCCAAAACAAAACAAAACCAACTTAGTGTGCAGTGTCTCTCTCCAGTGCCCGAAGGCAGGGTGAGTTGGTGTGAGAAGTGAGCTGCAGAATCTGTATTCCTGCCTGTACAGAGGGTGTCTCTCTTTCTGAACACAGGCCTGATCTGTCAAAATTTAAGAACTAAAAACCGCTTTGAACCTAGAACTTAACATCTTCCCTGTTGAGATAGCTCCTACAGTGTAAATAAGAGTGGGAGAGGGAAGGCAGAGTGCGGAGTCACAGTTTGGATGCTGTTCTGCTCCAATAGTGCAATAAAAAACACTCGAGAACGTGTTGGGTCACCCTTCAACGCGTTCTGCAGGTACCAAGGCAGCACCCACACTTCGTGTCAGCTTTGGTGTCTGTGCTCGGAGGAGGGCCTGGTGTTTGCTGTATGTAAGAAAGAAGAATGTCAGCAAGAGTCCACTTGGCACAGCAAGGGGGAGCGGTGGGATCTTTCTCGCTGGTCTCTGACCTGGTGTTAATTAAAAAAGCCATGATCATTAAATTCATCACAGGGAGAACTTCTGAGGTAATAGGTGACTCCAGATTTCCTGCATAAACGCAGCTGTACTCCCACATACGCAAATCCTAGTTTTGAATTGGATTATCATAATCAGCAAGATTAAAACACTCAAGTCTTATTTCCTTTTCTGTGAGGAAATTCCTGCTTTCCCTCCAGAGCACCGCCGCAGCTGCCTTCAGTGGGGACGTCAGCTAGGGCCTCGCCTCTTAGCCCAAGAGGGGCACAGAGCAAGGTTGTGTTGTAGTTCTGGGCCGTGTTTGGTAGGACTTGTGTCTTGGCCTCGATGGACGAATGTCTCCCAGTCCTGTGACTACTATGCAGTCTTTATAGGTGCCTCCCTTTAAGCTGCACAGAGGTCAAAGTGTTTAACCTCGAGGTGGTACAAACCTTTCAGAAGTCAGTGTGTGTGTCCTAAACTTGGTTTGCGACACTGCGTAACTGATCTGAGACAGATCGTCCTTACAATAGCTCCAAAACGGTTGTCCTCTCCCATCTGTGTCTTAATGCCCCATTTCAGGTTCGCCTGTTAACTTCCCCTACTTCTGCAGAGCCATTCTTCAGTATCCGTATTAGCCACTACTGATTTTCCTTGCTCTTTGAAATGAGTATCTATCTTGTGTAATAGCGATGGCAAAGCTCGGGGAACCAACTGCTGGTCATCCATCATTTTTAGTGGTTTCAGTTTTCACCACTCGGAAGTTGTGCTGGTCTTTGTTTAGCTGCACAGTGCTAAATGCAGCTGGATTGAGTTGTGTCAAGTGAGCGTATTACACAGAGGTCACAAGGGTGGGCAGGGCTAATCAGTGCAACTGAAAAAATGTGAATAAATTAAGTTTAATCTAAAACAAAAAAAAAAAGCATTCTAGGTTTTTTCACTGCTGTTTTTTAAATAGGAATTTTAAGTCCTCTGTGCTTGTCTGTTTGCTAGGAGCAGTTTGAGACACTGTTACTGTTTTGAAATGCATGCATGTTACAAGATGAGTCTCCAACCAGAGAAAAATAAAATTAAAACTTTGTGTACATCTGTTCCTTACTGCTGTCCTCTTTAAAGTGTTCTGATCATCAGCGATTACTCCATGAGGTATGTGGTCATTTTAAGTCCTATATTAATCACAAGTGGAAAAGTCCTTTTATATGTGCCCGTAAGATTTTTTACCAAGTCCTGGGTATGAGAACAAATTAGATCTGACACAAAAAGTTAATACTGCCATACTCACTGAAGGAGATGCTGCTGACTCCCAAGGGTGCAGCTGAAGCTCGGTCACTCGCTCATATGGGTGTACTGAGGGAGATCAGTATAGGTGGCTCAGAGAGAAAAGTAAGCACTGCTACTGTGTAAAACCCTAGCTCCTTCTGATAGATTTGGACATGAGAACTTAATCCTAGCGTTCAGACTCAAGAAAAGGAAAGTTCACTATAATAGAGAGTTTTATTTAAAAAAGTTACAAGCAGAGTGGGATGTGAAACACAGGAGCAGATGTGCTGGGCTAGTCCATGCGAGCTTTCAGGGTCCTGGTGGTGATCTTGTCTTTTTCACTATAGGGGGAAAGAGAGAAGACTATTAGTAAGTCTGCATTTAATACCTGCATACAGATTGTCCCTTCATTAGGAGTTGCGGTGTGCATAGATAGTTTGTTTGCTGGTGCAGGCAGGATCATCTGAACTTGAAGGTGGCTGTTCCAACCAAGTAAACCCCATCCTCCTGCTGCTTCACCTTGGGGGAGCTGTAGTATGTTCAGTGAGCAGCAGTGCAGGGAAATGGCTCCACGAGCAACATAAGCTGCCACACCCAGCTGTGGCAAAAAGCATCCTCTTGGCCAGTGCTACCCAGATGTGAGGAGTCACACTCCTAAATACCAATGGGAATGCTGCTAGGGAATCCCTATGCAGCAAGAGTCTAACTCTAGGATTAATTTCCCATAGCTCCTGCAGTTCTAGCAACAGCCATGAACTGCAACAGAGAGCAGCCATGAGAAATAGAACTCCTAAAATGGACAAAACGTTACTTAGGATGCTGCTGGAAGGGAGTAGATTAGGGACACCCTGGAAGCCAATGCCTTAACTGACTTTAACATGCAGCTTGTTAAATTCTACCTCTGTTCTGCAGGGGAAGAGAGCAGCACTTACATTATGTGTACTACCACGCCCATTCCAGATATGGCATCTCTGTCCACTGCATTCAACATGGCCTGCGAGATTGTTTCGAAGAGGTGATCTGGCTCCTGAGGAACAGAAGCTATTTTTAGTTGGTGTAAAAATTGAATATTCAACTCATTGGATTTTGTTCAAAACCCAAAGTATCATCCTGCAGGCTGCTATAAGCATTGTTGTCCTGAGCTCCCTTAGGAAGTACCAAAGGACAGAGCTTTTCATCCAGCCTGTGTATCTCACGCTCTCCAGTTAACAAGCAGGAGGCTGAATCCAAGAATCAGAGCTGAGCCTGGCTACCTCACTCACCATCTCGGGCTCCCAGAGAGACTCGCACATGCCGTACATCTGCTCGGAGCAGGTGCCGCTGACCACAAAGTCATCGGTTATCATCGGGCAGCCAATCAGGTCTAGAGAGCAGATGAAAGGTTCGTGTGTTACAGGGTCCAGCCCAGCAATGACTGGTTCTGTGTAGTAAGGCCCAAACCTGTGAAGAACAACATTGGATAGAGCAGTCCAACCACCTTGATGCAGTTCCACATCCCACACTAATACCTATATGAGGAAAACATCCCACAGGTGCTTTTGGTGAGGGACCTTTCAGGTCAACCTAGAAGCACCCTCCAATGGTTTCAGCACGGCAAAGAAACAGAACAAACTTGTACTGCTACAGGATTATTTTAACAATGCTCCATGTTATTATCCAAGGAGGTTGAAGATAACATTGTCACTAAAGTCTTCTTTTGCCATGCCACAAAGCAGTCTTTACAGGAGCCCTGCTCAGCCTCCCACCTCTCTAGAATCAGATCAACTCCAACAACCACAGCTTTCACTGACACGTAAACAGTGACTCTGTTGTTTGACAGTTACCGTCTCTCATAGAGCAGATTGGAAACCATGCTCATAAAAGTCTGAGGTTTGATCTGCCTGCCTTCCTTCAGCTCATAGAGATTCAGCCTGAACTTCAGTCTCTGGGCACTGCAAGAGATGAGAATCAACATTAAAGCAGATGTAGGTTCCTTTTTCATCTTCACCCAGGTCCGAACTGTTCTACTGGACGCTAACAGATACAGACGCATGCCTGAGGCAGGTAGATATTCCAAATGCCGCTCCTTTTATACCTGAAGTCATTAAGTCTTAGTAGTGATGCAATCTTAAATCACATGCAGTTTTACTTAAAAATCTCCCAGTGAAGGGAGGACCAAGAAAAGAAGTGCTGGCACCTGCTCCCCAAATAAGCAAAGACCTTTGTGCTCAGTATAAGCTGCCACTTAGTATTTATTGTAAATACGCCTCTTATAGGCTCTGTACAGGAACACACAGGCGGGCAGTAGTCTCACTTACACCGTCTGCACGTCCGTGGCCAGTC